TAATGGTATTACATAAAGGAAATGTTTAACAGGACTCTTGATCAATGTATTTAGCGATGGAGGATCTTTAAATTAGGGCTGAATGGTTTATCTGGTCAAATCTGAATATCTTTCTTAATGTTGAGATGATCACTTGCGTATTTCACGCTTCCAATGAGCTCTTTAATCCTGGAGAGAAGGGCAGTACCGTATGCTCCTGCTATTGGAGATATTTAGAGAGTGTCGTATAGGGCTTCTTCTTAGGGCTGCTACAGGGTAGGTGGACTTGTTGTAAAGGCTTTCACAAAGAGCAAAAATAAAAGTTATTCAGGCATTATTAAAGCATATGTAAATGCCTGTGAATCCATTCATTTGAGTAGTTTTAATGTCTTTAGTTCCTTGAAATGACAAATACTGCCAATAGAGTGGTCTACTTCATTGATCTAAATTGTCAGATTATCAGTGTCATTCAAATGTGTCTGTTGTATTTATTTCTTTGACAGCCTGCACAAGCTCTGAAGAGTAATTAGGGATTATTTTATGTATTTCTCTTATGTTACACCTGTCTGATTACAGTATTTATGTTCATTTGGAAAGTGAGACTTCATCAAAAATGAATATTTTCCTAGGAAATAACTTTCACTATACTGCTGAGGAACTTATCTGAATAATGTGGAAACCTCTAGCTAGCAGGCTGGGGGGTTTTAAGAGTAAAACGTGGAGATGTGACTTAGTGATCCAGTTAGGTAGGACTGCACTCTTCATGGGTTCTTTCTGTTGCGGCTCTTGAATGTAAGAAGGGAGCAAATACCACTGCATGTAGGAAAGTGTATTTTTGTCTGGCCAGTTCTAGGTTATCATTGCTGCCCTAATCCAATTCACCTGGCTAGGGGCTCAAATAATATCCCTGCTGAAACCTGACCACAGACTACTTTTACAAGCTCCACAGAGATGCAGAAGGGGCATTTCACCTTTCAGGTTTCAGTCTTGGAGACTTCAGAACACAGAGAAGACTTCTGTATGCTTTTGTTCTTACAGTTAGTAAGCTTCTGCTAAAAAAATTTTTTTTTTTTAATTGTGATGACTCTGGCAGCTGTTTTATAGTCTTATAATCTTCTCTATACCTTCTGCTGTGATGCATCTCCAGCACTACAATTAAATAATTTCTCAGTGTTTTGTCAAACACAATTGGACTACTGGAGGAATTAATAATCAGATGGTTTCTTGAACCCCTATGTAACAGTTTACATCTTCTCAATGGGTTTGAATTTGTTTACTTGTTTTTATCATTAATCTAGAAGGGAGAAAAAAAACTCACTTCTCCACAACCATGATCATAAAAGTTCTGGGTCTACTCTGATGCTAGATACATAATCTGTAATTAACAACTTGTAGGACTGAAAATTTATTAATGAGTTGTCTTTGAACTTGAAAGTAGACTGGTCTGTGAATGAGCTTGACGTCTTATAGTTCTTCAAGGGAAAAACAGCATTACTGTGAAGGCAGGTTGGCCAATGAGTGGGGAAGAATCCATTTTCAGAATATGCAGGAGAAATGTGTGTGGCATCACTGTTTTGATTTCAAGCAACCCAGAGAGGTGCAGTGTATGAGATGGCAGCTGGTTGAAAACAGGGTTGGGATGAGTGCAGTTTGGGGTGAGCCATGCATTTGTAGTGCCTCTAGGTTTAGGGAAACCACTTCTCGACCTCCCTGAGTATGAGAGGGCTTGTGGGCCTTGTAAATCGATGTTTTATTGCTTCCTAGTAATATATTGATTGCTGCTTTTCCATTCTGACCTTGCTGCTTTTCCAACCTCTGTGATCTTTAGACTGCAACAATGACAGTTTTTTTGAAGCCAGTGATACAGATCAGCTTGCTGCTCCAAATACGAAAGGATGTAGCTGTTTGCTGCTAACACAAGATACAGGCAGGAGGCGTGTTATACCTCTCTCCTTCTCAGTACATCAGTTCTTTGAATTCATGGTCTTAACTGTTTTTCCAGTGTCTTCCAAAGCAGCAGAATATGGTGGAGGGCTGTGTGTGTGGTTGAGGCATGATGCAGTTGTCTGAAATTCATAAGTTATCTGTGTGACCTTTCCTGGATACAGTATAGCACCGGCAAAAAAGACAACTGGTGGTATAACAGCTATTGGTTAGTTGATTTTAATGTTTAAAGAAAATGCACAGTAAAAACCTGTTGCTTCTCAGTTGAGACTTGAATAAGTTAATATATGTAAAAACTTTAAGAGCAGTAAAAAAGAAATTTTAACCAAAACCAACTTGCTATTCCAGTTTTTTAAATACCAACTTAATAAAAACGTTAAAAATTATAATAGTGATACACCTTTTTATAAGTCTTCTGATTTTTTTTTTTAAACTAGATTTAAGAACTTCAAAGGCTGTTAGTATTTTGTGTTTTAGTATTGATACCTGATAATTTGGAAGTAGTGTATTAAAATTGCTCACAGGAAAATATCGGTTTTGCTTGAAACTGAACATGTTTAAGAGACAGGCTTTAAAAAGCGTACTCACATTCTGATGGCCTAAATTTCTGAAATTTAAAAGTGGGTTTGTATTTAAAATGAAAATATTTTAGTTACCTGTTGAAATCTTAGTTTTCTTGAAATGTTAGAGGAGTAGTGGCAGTTATTCCCTGAGACAGTTTTAACTCTTGAAACATTTTGGGGGGATGTTCAGCCATAGCCTTGTTATTTAGATGACTTCAAGTTATTTTTAGGTTGCCACTTAACTGACTTTGGGCAAGTGATGTTTTCTTTAATGTTTGTCACATCTTCCTTGTCTTATTTGCTTGAACTGTAATGTGTTTTGATCAAGAAGTTTCTCTGGTTATACATGTGTTTGCTGCTTACTACAGTAGTGTTACAGTCTTAATCACACCTGCAGTTTGCAAATAAACGTCTTTTTAATATTGGCATAATAAAATAATAAACTAAGCTTCAATTTAGTGTTAGAACTATTGGTATAGTATGAAGGAGGTTGAATAAAGCCCACCTCACGAGAAGATTACCACCACTGTTTGAAAACATGTTAATATCTGGGTTATACTGACACTAAATTCAATGGGAAAAATCTCTCAGATCACGAGAAACAGGATTAAGAAAAAAAAAATCTATTGTTCCAAAAAGCATTGTTAATTTGTAAGTGGACGGAAGAATTGTAAAACTCTTAGATGGGTGTGTAATTCTTTGCTCTGTAGGAAGTCTGGTTTGTTGATCCCAATGTTGTTCAATGTCTGAAATACTGCCCTTAATTTTCTATATTTTTTCCTCTGGATACAGATTGAGCCAAGTATGCACTGAAATTTGGACATGACCGTAACAGGCTGTTTTTTAGGCCACTCTGAAGGATACTAGACTTTGATGGGAGCTGTTCAAGTATTCTGAGAATCAGTCTCAAGGGTTCAGGGTTAAAGAACATTTTGAAAATGTAGACCATGAAGAATTTAATTCTGTAATAGCAATATCAACTTTCTGGATAATTGCTGTAGTTATAGATAAAATATGTCTTAGGGATTTTTGGCAGACTTTCTAGTAAGGGGAAGAACAGAATTACTTTCAGCAGTGTGCTAAGGGCAAGTCAGTCTGAAAAATGTTTGAAGGGAAAAATATGCAAATAGGGCACTCCACTGAAAACATGCATAAACATTGAAAAATACAGAAGAATACACATATATGGCACAAGCTGATTAGAAAGAAGGAAATGGAATAAATTATTCTTTTCCTCTAGACTATTTGTATTAAACTTTTAGTAATGTTGTGTCTGTATATTTTTCTCATTTTCTATCCTATGTTGCTATCACACCTTACGTTATATCCATGTTTTGCATTTTAAAAGTATTCAGTGTCTGTTTATGCAACAAAATCACTGCCAACACAATGACTGTGGCAGAGATTTTCAACAGGCATGGCTACAGCAATGGTCTGAGCAGTGCAAGCTAAACCAGTAGAACATTAGCCACATCCTGGATTTCAGCCTCACAGGACTATCAGCAAGGGGTGTAATAGGTGTAACTTTGATTGCTTTTCTAAACATTTAAGTAGCATGCTACCACTTTGTGGTGTAGACCTAATGTTTGTGAGGTGTTCCTTGTGTACTTGCTTGATACTTACCTTCAAAATGTGTAATGTTTCTATGGCATCCCCATGACTCTCCTTGGAAATCTCAGTAACAGACCACAGAGCTGAAGTACCTGAGTGGTAAAAGGATTGAAGTGGCAAAACTAATCATAGCTGGAAATATACAAGTCTCTTTCTTAAATATTATAATGTAAAATATTTAAGAGTAGAATAAGAAAAAAAATCTGTATCCTTAAAATTTTTTCAGGAGGCATGTTTAATTTATTCATCCTCAGAGGATATTTCAGTTGTACAAAGTCTTGGGAATTTCCTTTTTTTAAATTTTGAGGGCAAAATGTTGATAAGGCACAACCATTCTATTGCACTTTAGTGAAGCAACCAAAAAATCAGCCTTGGTGTAAAACTACATCCATTCATCAACTTCAGCTAATTTCATTTGTAGATATTCAGATCTGGGCATTATATATGAAACTAGTTCTGACTACTGCTCCTTTTTTTCACCCCAACCTTCTTACCTCCCCCAATCCTGGTTCTTCTGTGGACCCGTTTAATTGAGGGCATAGCTGGGTTTGTATAACTTTTGGGTTTTTATGTCTGGGGGTAGGGGTTCCCTTTTTTTGAGAGGCAATGGTAGTTTTTTTGGTCTCTGTTTAAGAAGAGATGGTATCATGATATCTATCTCACCAAAATATCTAGTTACCTTGGAAGAAATGAGGTTTTGGTATAGATGCAGGCAGCTGGATAAAGCAACTAAAGTGATTAAGTGAAGCTGTTGCTACCCTTGCATGCTGTTTCTATTTGAATGTTGAAAACACTTAGTCTTGCTTGGGGCTATTTTTGTGTTTAAGTGCTACTTTCAAGTAAACTTTTAATATTGTCACTTATTTTTTCTCTCTTAAATGTCTTTTGTAAATCTATTTGCAGCTGGGTCTCGGGCATCTTACAGCAGCCAGCACAGCCACCTTGGCTCCGAGTTAAGGGCACTGCAGTCTCCGGAACACCATATAGACCCTATTTACGAAGACAGAGTTTATCAGAAACCCCCTATGAGGAGTCTCAGCCAGAGTCAGGGGGACCCTCTGCAACCAGCACACGCCGGCACATATCGCACTAGTACAGGTAAGTGGATGTATCTTGCATGAGTGTCCTTTTATGAAATATGTAAGGTTTTCTTCAGTACTAACTCTTCTTCTTTTTCTGATGTGCTAAGCCGAATGTATTATGTGCATGCCACTCAAATAAAATACTTTTGCAGATGGCAGCGATGAATAGAACCCCAAATACACGCACAAAACAGAGAAATACTGAATGTGCTATATGTGCAGTAGGTTAACCTAATCTGAGGAGGGGGCTTACTCCTAAGGAGAGAGAAAATATTGTTATGAATCTAGTATTGTCTTTGAGAAGGATCTGTTGTCTCTGAAGAAATTGCCAAGGTTTTTTTACTTAGAAAAGTATTTTGTTTGTTACAAAAGGATGGCAAAGTTTCTTTCCACATGAAGCTTTGGTCACTTGCTTTCCAAATAAATCATTAGCAAATATTTTCCTTTCTCCTACAGAGATATGGTTAGGTATAGGTACACAGACATAAAATTGAACTATAATATAGGGAAAAGCTGTTAGCATCACTGGTTATTCATAAATAATAATTGTCTCTGAAGTACATTGATGCACAAGTCCTACTTGCAGAATATCCTCTCAACCAAATGAAATACAGCTGTATGTTGGAACCCATAAATAGATCACAAATCAACAGGGATATTTATGGTATTTAATGCACAAAATAATTAGAGTACATAAATGATACAGTCAAAATAGCCTAAAGCAGATGTAGAAAGAATTTGCCTTAGGAATTGTAATTATTTCTGGTGTTTTATCTTTGTTTTGTTGATTAAAGAGGGAAGATTATGTCCATTTTCAAGTCACTCCTGTTTTCATCAAGAAAAGGTTAAGTGCACTTTTTGGAGCAAGATATTTTGCTTTCTTTTAAAGCTTTTTTTTTTTTTTTTTTTTTTTTTTTTTTTTTTTTTTTTTTTTTTTTTTTTTTTTTTTTTTTTTTTTTTTTTTTAACCCATTTCTTCAAGGTCAATACTGGCAGTTCTTGTGTGTCCAAAAATTCTTATTGCTTTATGCAAGTTTTAGGTATTCAGAATACAAGAGAAAATCCTTAAAAGGGAGTTTTTTTTCACAGAATTTTATAGTTAAATACCTGTAGAGCTTTATACTTTTTGAAGAACACCATTACAACATTTCCTTCCTGTTAAAGAAACTACCATAGCCTAGGTTTTATGTACAGTCATATACCTATATGAGAAAAGATTACTATTCTTTGCATGAAGGGGACAAGACCTGCCTAAATCACTGAGCAGTGGAAGCAAAGGTAGGGATTGAAGCTGCTGTTTATATTGAACTTTAAGCCTTGTGTTCCACATGCAGCTCATATTGCAGATATGTCTCTTTCCCAGACATGCCCTGAAGAGGGTTTCTTGTTTTGCTGGCAAAATATCCCTTGGTTCTCTGTGCTGCAGTCACAGGCTGTCTTGTGAATGTAATCTTCACAACACCTCCTTAAGGAAGGAAACCCTGTCAACATAGATAACAATTATATGAATTAAACTGGGATGCAGCATGTTACTTAGTAATACCTGAAGGTGGGGTTTCAGAAGGAAGAGGAAAAACTGAAAAAAAATACACTGATTTGGGTAGCAGAAACATGCCCTGTGAAGGTGAAGTTTGTTTTGCTGTTTGGGATATGGATTTGAACATTGCTTCAGGCTCGTTCTGAAGAAGGACCCCATCAGTCCAGCTTCATGTTGGGTTGATCCTGCCTCACTTTCTCCTCTGCACCCTTATCAACAGGGTCAGGGGAAATAAAAGAAGATGGATTTGTGTCAGGCCACTCATTCTGTTGCTCTGTCAATAGCTGTCAGCTGCAGATGCTGTCAGCCTTTCACACAACCAGGCTGAAGAACTGTGCTCAGAGGGAATTTTGAGCTGGATTGGATCAGCTCTCAGACTCCTGTGTCTACCACAAGTGCCAGTAGGGACATATCCCTTCTGCTGGAGACTATACAATGTTTTTTGAAATAGCGGAAAGGAGAGGAAGGAGTTCAACTGAAGTTTGGCACATAAAACTTTTTTTCCCCTTCATTGTGTTATCTTAAGTGGGTTTTTTTGATTTTTTTTTTTTTTTTATTATAAAACTGAATAGCTATTTGTCTTGCCCATTTGGTCAAGATATGAGGGATGCAGATTGCTGTGCCTCCATGAAGATAAGTGCCAAAGCTTCATGGCCCGTGTCTTCTGTGTGCACGAGTCATGGCGGGTGGGGAGCTTTCAGACTTCACTGTGGTCTTCTGTAGACCATAGTTCACATCCTTTGTTTATCAGGACAGTTGCTTTAATCATGAAGATGATGCATGCTTTTTCACATCTGATGGAAATAAAAAAGGGAAAGCAACCCTAGCGTAAAGATTTTGTCCAAAGTCTGGATTCTTTTCTCTGCAGCTAAGGCTGCCTATTAGAAATAAAAATTGTGCTGGTTATATCTATCATTTACTTTTGTTGATTTACTTCTGTTGATTTTCTGTGGGGTTTTTTTGTTTGTTTGGGTTTTTGGGTTTTTTTGGTTGTTTGGTTTGCTTTTTGGGTTTTGTTTTTAGTTTTTTTGTTGGTGTTTTTTTGTGTGTGTGTGTTTTTTGTTGTTTTTTTTTTTAAGATCATTCTTCTTGAATTTGAAAATTTCACTTATTTGGAAGAATAAGATACCAAGAATGGTCACTTAGTATAGACATCACCTCTTTCTCTTTTGTGAGCCCTTAAGTACTTATTGCATTCAAGAATGTTTACAGAACTAAGGATAAAGCCCCGCAAGAGTTTTTCATCTTCTATGTAAATCAACATTCAGTACAAAAAAATTCAATAAGCTATAATTTCTCTATGGGGTAAACTAAATTAAGCTTGTTCTATATACTCGCTGTTTTTTCGGTGATTGAACTTTTGTATTTTCTTTGCATTTCACTTGTGAATGATGATGGTAGTTTTGCACTAAGGGCTACATACAGTAGAAGGTACAAAACAGTAGAGACTTACTGAACAGCTCCATTACTAGTATAGCTTTATGAAGAATTCATTCTGTCCCTATCTAGAGTCACCGAATGGTTTGGGTTGGAAGGGATCTTAACATGCATCATGTTCCAACTCCCCTGCCGTGGGCAGGGAATCTTCCACTAGATGAGGTTACTCAGAGGCTCATCCAGCCTGGTCTTTAATACCTCCAGGGGTCTCTGGGCGACCTCTTCCAGTGCCTCACCACCCTGACAGTAAAGAATTTCTTCCTAATATCTAATCTAAACCTGCCTTCCTTCCATTTGAAGCCATTTCTCCTTGTCCTGTCACTGCAGGCCCTTGTGAAAAGTCCCTTTTCAGTTTTCTTGTAGGCTGCCTTTGGGTAATGGGGGGTGTGCTGTAAGGTCTCCCTGGAGCCTGCTCTTCTCTGGGCTAAACAACCCCAACTCTCTCAGCCTTTTGTCATATAAAGGTTCTCCACCTCTCTAATCATCTCTTTAGGGCCCTCCTTTGTACTTACTCCAACATACCGAAGTCCTTCCTGTGCTGAGGACCCCAGATCTGGATGCAGTACTCCATGTGGGGTCTCAGCAGAGCAGAGTAAGGGGTGAGAACTGCCTCCCTCACCCTACTGGCCCCACTGCTTTTGATGCAGTGCAGGACACAGTTGTCCTTCTGGGCTGTTGAGTGCACATTGCTCTTTCATGTTGAGGTTTTCGTCCACAACCAAGTCCTTCTCCCCAGGACTAGTCTCAATCCATTCTTTGCCCAGTCTATACTAGTGGTGTAAAATATAATCAGGTGTGTTACTGTCAGGCTGTCTAAGCTAAAAATAATCTTTCAAATTTGACAGCAGTAGCTGCAAAGGCTTTTTTGTTTGGTAGCTTTTATTTAACAGTCCCTTTTGGTCTTCAAAGGGTAATGTCTTCTCTCTTATAAGAAGTACCAACCCAAACTTCTGAACTAAAAGTAGCAACAAATGTGAAATTCTACTTTTGAAATGGGAATTTTCAAATTATGTGCTTGGAGTGAGTACTCAAACACAATAAAAGTAACAAATTAATTTACTTAGTGAATAGCAACTCATAACTTGTATTTGTAACCCAACTAAATAACACTAATAACTTTTATTCACACAGGTTCATTACTTATTTTCCTCATAAGCCTAAAGGCCTTGAATTATTATCTTGGTAGAGATAAGCCTATATGATGGGATGTTTACATGAAGACTGCTGGAATTTGAAGAAGACTATTAATTAAGAGGGAGGAAGAGTTGCCTTTCAACCAGAGTGGGACACAGAATCGATGATTGCTTGCTTATTTGCAGAATTAAAAGTTTGGGCTAGGGGTTCAGTCCATAGTTATTGATGTTTAATTCACATTAAACGTGAAAACAGACAAAATCACACTATTTTGCGAGGCTGGAATTTCTGTAGCTGCCTTGAGGAGAAAGAAGCCTCACTGCTCAGGTTCTGGGCTATCAGTGCCGACCTGCAGCAGAGGAGCGTGTCTTCAGCAGCTGTGGGGTCTGTGTGAGTGGTTAGCATCACCCTCTGGAGACTGGCATCACTGTCTGGAAGCTCGTGCTTTCATTGGGTCCCCTTGGATGAGCCCTCTTCTGTAAAAGGAATATAAGTTCCAGATAAAGTTATTAAAAACCTTGAAAGAATGCTGTCCCTGGTGGTCTGGGAGGCAGGGGTGAGAAATGAGAGAGCTGTGCTTATTCTGATCTCTTTACAAACAGGATCTTTATCAGATAAAGTAAGTGCTGCTGTGTAAAGGCAGTGGTGATGCTGGTTAACTGTGGACATTCAGACTTCAAAACCTGGAGAGTGCTTGTGCTTTAAGAGTGGCTTTGGGGGCTGCAGCAGAAGATTTTATCCCCAACCTCACAGAGGTGACAAGGGTGAACATCAACAGCACCAGAGGAGTGAACCTGTCCACCTTAGCTCTGTGAAGGATATGTGCATCTCACTGGTGCGAGGGGAGCCTTGGCATCTTTGACTAAAGCTTAGGGATAGCCTTGGGATGCACAGCCTGAGAAAGGTCTC